AGGGCAGGAAGAAATGCTGCTTCTATAGATTTACCAAAGCCTTAAGGGTGTTTGTATATGAGACATGTCATTCGCTCTCCAGCCAGCTGAAGTCTTTAGACTCTCCCTCAGTAAACGCAGTCAAGGATTAATTTTGTGCTTTACTGCTGTAAATCCTTTATTTACACACCTAAAGTATTTTGAGGACCTCAAACACTCCTGAGCTTTCAGAAAACATCATTTGTTTGAGTCTCTGCTGCTGCAGTGCTGGTTCTTTCATTTACTCATTTGCCTGTGTTCTCACCAATGAATTATTTCTTCAAGTCAGCGTTGTGAGGGGAAACTGCAGCCTGTCTTTTCAAACCACGCATGCATGGAATAATGCGAGCAACATTCCTGGATGCAATTAGCCACTGCTCGTTATCCCCAAAACCTTACTGGAAGTGTGACTCCAAGGTGCACTCAAGTAACACCAGCATTGCTCAGCAGCAGAACCCGTCAGGAAGATCCAATTTTCAGGAAGAGGTTTGGAAACCCCCTGCTATAGGCTGGCTAGGTATTACAGCAGTCTTCCCAAAGTCACTTAGTCCCTTCAGCAACCAACAGCTCCTGCAGAGCCCATGTATCTCAGAGCATATACATTTCCTTATCTTGAAAATCAAGACATGTGGGAAGCAAGGGAGGGGGGTAGCACATGTCTTTGTTATATCACTGCCAGGGTGGCTGAGACAATCCTGCTTCACCCATTTTAAGACAGAAGGATGAAATCTCCCTCCCTCTATCCAAAGAGGAAAGTTATTAAGAGGACTTCTTCATTAGGTGCTCATATAAAGCTGGCTAGGTCATACCTAGGTGTTTACAGGAACCTGAGAGGAGAGATCTCTCTTCTAAAGGTATTTTGTATTCATAGTAGATACCATAAGCTAACGCACAATCCACAGGGAGACAGGTACCACTTTGCCTCGCCTGCTGAAAAATGGCCATCATTGCAGTGGAAAAGGGCAGCTCTTTAACATCTTCCAGTAATTCTACTTAGCAGGAGAGAGGGCAAGGCAGGGAATAAGATCCTTTGGTGTATCCACTAGAAATTCCAGTTGAACTTTATGTTGGCAAAACATAGTCACTTGGACAGGAGCTGTGACAAAACTCCCAGATCAGCATGCTGAGCCAGATTGAAGGATCACATTTCCCAGATGGAACTGGCATCTCAGTCGACACTTCGGGGGTGTAGCCACTGTGTTCAGTGCTCAGATCTGCTATCAGGAATAAATACTTAACCACGACATCACCAGGTCCAAGAAGAAGGTGGTCCAAGAAGAAGGTGACACAGGCCTGCCAGCACCAGCAGATCCAGCCCCTTTGCAAACATGTCCATCAAAAAGAGTGGGAATGGAGGATGGTGTAAGTCAGATTCTTTTTAGACATACCCCTAGGGCTAACTGGCAGCTTTAGGTGAGCTTATATTCTTACCATACTTACAATTGATTCAGTAGAGGGCCAGCTCTCTCTGGCAGTCCTTGATTCTGATATGATTTCGATATAAGCAGCAAGACAGGGAGATGGGATGCTACAACTGTCATCCCATCCCAATTTCTGCTCTACCCAGGGCAGGTAGTGAAGAGCAAATGAGCTATACTCTCCAAAGGTCTCAGCAGTAAAGCGGCCAGCAGATAATACTCCATGAGACTAAGTGTTATAGTTTGCTTTTTTAATGAAAAAAGATTTTATAAGCTATTAGGAATTGGATATTTCACATACTTTGTTCAGAGAAAGTTCAACAAAAAGAAAAACACAGAAAGGACTGAAAGAAGATCTGAGTTTTGAAAAGGTCTGAAAAAAAAAAATGAAACCTTTAACTCTGTATCCCTCTTTCTTCTACCTAAGCTTCTTAGAACTTCATCTGAATCCCTAACAAAGATATATTTCTAACAAAAGCTGCAGGTTCAATGGGCTGATTTCGTTTCTGCTGTCTCCCCCTAATAATTTGGCTCTGCCAGCTTCGCTCATACCACCATTGCTGTGAGGGAAGAAGTAAATGTGAAGCCACAGATATCAGAACTTCAGTGAAATAGTTTGTTCTTGTCAGGCTCCCATCAAAGGTTTTAACACCTTCCCTTTCCTTCCCTCACCGATCTTCTCAAGCGCTGCACGTGGCTGAGATTAAAGCCATTTCCCTGGATTAATGTGCTCCGCACGCAGCGTTGCACAGAGGATTTTACCAAAGTTAAGCCTGGCCATTATCCCCCACATTGGAAATTTTTCACAACAAAACGTCTGAAAGCAAGTGAGAGCAAAGAGAACCTCTCAGTTCCATTTCTGAGCGAGCAGAGGAACTCCAGCTGGTACGTAGCAATCAGGAACTGTGATGATGGTTGTTACCTACTTGCAGGAATGCAGAGAAAAAAAAAAGGTAGAAATACATCTGGTAACAACTTTCTGGGCATTTATCAAATATTCTGGGGGAAGGGACTGATAGATTAGTTATGAAAGATCAGGAATTTAAGAATGGAAATTTAGTTTCTGCTTACTCTAGTGATCACTGTGAAATACCAGACTGGACTGGGGAAGTTCATGGCTGACCTTGACGTGTCATTTTGATTCATTGAGTAGTTTTATTGGTGAATGCCCCATTATTTAAGATCACAAGCAGCACAGTGCACCTTCTATAAGTATGTTGTGCCTGGGGACAGCAGCAACTTCTGCTAACTCCTGCAAGGAGGAATTTCACAGGCAAGACAGGCAGCAACACCGTGTTTATTTGTTTAAAGTCAGGCATCTGTTTTCAAGGTCCCAGTCTGATGGCCATGCTGATTTTGCTTGCTCTCATCTCTTCTGTCATTATTATCTGTTGAGCTGTACATCCAGATCCTTGGTCAAATTTCCAAAAGTTTCCAGTAAAGGCTGAATCAGACCCACCAGGATTGTGGTAGCAATTTATCATGACCCATAAGAAGGAGAAGATGGGTAGATTAGAATCTAGAATTTTCCTTCAGATTTCTTCCCTTCACACCTGTTCACTAGGATTAGGAGAAAGTCTGGTGTAGTTCAGCTATGCCAAAGGCACATGTGTGCAGTTTATGATGCACTGGGTGTGACATCCCAGCATTTTGCACAGTGTCTATTCTGGTAATGGCAGTCAATGTTCACATTATTGCAGAAAAGGACAAAAATGAATGCCAATGACAGCTGAAGCTGCATGTTTTTGCACAAGAAATAGGAGTCTTAAAAGTTAAATTACTGGAAAACTTCTGGGAATGGTGTGTTGCAAAGGAATATTTTATTTTTGCTCAAACTATGCACTACCATGAACACATTAAAAGCGTGTCAGGAAAATAACACTTGAGGATTGTTTAGAAAGTGACCTCATACCCCCTTCCTTGGATACGTGCTTAAAGTTTAACTTCTGTCAGCTACATTCACACCTGATAAATGCAACAGCAAAAGTTTAAAACAGCGAAAACCTACATGACAACAAGAGTGACCTTTTTTTTCATCCTAGTTTTAATGAGCAAAGGAGAAAGGGGATTTCAGCCTAAATCGTGAGAATTTATATTGGGAAGAGTAATGCAGCATGAAGTAACTGTAGCAAACAATTACAAAGCTCTCAGCATCTCCTGATCCGAGCTGCACTCAAGTCCAGGTCCTAAAGAAAACATCATCCATAGCTGCTGCAGGTCCCCAAAACATTCAGGTCTGTGTGGCTGGAGATATTATGTCCTTGGAGACACAGTAAACTCAGAACATCCTTTCTGTGAGCCACCAGTGAGACTATTTGCCCCTCAAGTTCTTGATTTATTTCAATTGTTTTTAAGCTGAAGCATTTTGCCCCCAAGAAATACGATCCCAGTGCACGGTTTAATTCAGCTAGATGAGAAGAATTTTGTTTAACAAAAGGCTAAATAAATAGGCACACGAGGGTACGCTTTCAGGGTGGGTTAGCGCTAACCAAACACGTCCTCTCTGGCAAAGAAACACATCTTATGCTTGAAGGGTGGTCAACTCAAAAATCAATTGTTTCTTCTAAGAACATTCCTAGGTTTTGGGTCAAAATCAGACCCTAGATGTGTCTATGAACATAGCAGGCAATCTCTGACTCTGCAGTGGATTAACCTCTTCCCACGCTTGCATGTCTGAATAACTCCAAGACTGGGGATTTTCCGAATGTAGGTTGATCCAAATTCCAGTCTGAACACATCTGTAGTGTTTTCTCCATCAATGACTCTTATTCCCCAAGTCTCTTGTTAATTTTGTCCTTCATGATTGGCCACATTAGCAGGGACATAGAGCTACGCTTTCCTTTAAGAAGGGATTCCTGAATCTGATCCTTTAGTCCTAGCGTTGCCATTGTGGTGAGTAAACCCCAAATTCTGCTGCTGAAATTTAATCTTTTCTTTCATTCTCAGCTAAAAGTCCTATTTGAGAAGCTTTTGTGATCCCAGAGTTTGAAATTCACACCTTCAAACTCAGTCTATCACTATGCTAAAAATAATCTGCATATCTGGCTTAATTATGCCTTCTGCATCCACTCCCATTTCCTCCTAGATTCACTATCCACGTCACATCCAGGGTCTCCCAATGCCAATATGTTCAGACACCCACATTTGCATAGACAGGTCCCACTTCATCTTCTAAAAGGCAGGAAGACCTCCTCAAAACCCAGCCACTCCCCACCAGTTTTCCCAACGTATGTCCCCAGTGAAGTTATCTGCTTCTCTGTGCCTCCGCTTACCCAACTAAGCAGAGGACAACATTAACAGTTGACTGATTCAGAGTTTACTGAGTAAGCCAAAATGATTATTTTTTGCTGGAATGCACCTTAGGCAAAAAACTGTTTCCTCATATACTTAACTGTAACTTTTCCCCACCAGCTGAGGGAAAATATGCAAATTACCTAACATTTTCCTAAACAAGTGTCTTGAGACTTCATCAGAATTTACTTCTCGCCTGCAGGTATAAACAAAACTTGCACTACCCACAACATTTTTTATTTCTTACTTCCCAGAACACTATCAGCAGAGGGAATGTTCAACTACCTCCGGAAACGCTTTACCAGCCACATCAGAGAACGCAGCCGGCGAAGGGCAAGGCTTGTCTCTAAAGATGGAAGGTGTAACATAGAGTTTGGCAATGTAGAGCAGTCAAGGTTTGTCTTTTTGGTTGATATATGGACAACTATCCTGGATCTCAGATGGAGATACAAAATGACCATCTTCATTTCAGCATTCTTGGGCAGCTGGTTTCTGTTTGGTCTCCTCTGGTACGTTGTGGCATACGTACACAAAGATCTTCCAGAATTCAGTCCTTCCATAAATCACACCCCCTGTGTGGAGAATATCAACGGCCTGACCTCAGCTTTCCTGTTCTCCTTGGAGACCCAAGTCACCATCGGTTATGGCTTCAGATGCGTCACAGAACAATGTGCCACTGCCATTTTCCTGCTTATCTTCCAGTCTATCTTGGGGGTAATCATCAATTCTTTTATGTGTGGTGCCATCATGGCCAAGATATCCAGATCCAAAAACAGGGCGAAGACCATCACCTTCAGCAAGAATGCTGTCATCAGCAAACGTGGTGGGAAGCTCTGCCTCCTTATTCGGGTGGCAAACCTCAGGAAGAGTCTGCTGATTGGGAGTCACATTTATGGAAAGCTTCTGAAGACCACCATCACCCCAGAAGGAGAAACAATCATTTTGGACCAGGTCAACATAGAATTTATAGTTGATGCTGGCAATGAGAATCTTTTCTTCATTTCCCCATTAACTATTTATCATATCATAGATAAGAACAGCCCATTCTTCCACATGGCAGCAGAAACCATTCTGCAGCAAGATTTTGAACTGGTGGTGTTTTTAGATGGCACTGTGGAAGCCACCAGTGCTACCTGTCAAGTGAGGACATCCTACATCCCAGAAGAGGTGCTCTGGGGTTATCGCTTTGCTCCTATTGTGTCCAAGACCAAAGAAGGGAAATACAGAGTAGACTTCCAGAACTTCAGCAAGACAGTGGCTGTGGAGACTCCCCACTGCGCCTTCTGTCTCTACAATGAGAAAGAAGCTAAAGCCAAAGAGAAGAAAGGTTACGACAATCCTGGTTTTGTCTTGTCAGAAGTTAGTGAAACCAGTGACACAAAAATGTAGTTCCAGATATTCATGGGACTATTTTTTTTTTTCCATAATGAATTAAATCTTCAGAGGATTAATAACTTAGTAAAACAAAAAAGAAACCCAGGTTTGTTTTTACTCTAAAACAGCATTTATCTTCTCAAAAGCCTCAAATCAAAGAGGAACAGAATACCAGTGATCTCCAGAACACTATTTAACTTCACTATAAATATATTTCATAGAATTTATATTTTTATACCTATGGGGCATTTTATGAAGCTGCTATGTTGGAATGTCCAACTCACTTAGGTTCCTGGAGGCATGCAAGTCTGTTAAAAAGCCTGAAAAGATAGAGAGAAACTTTAGATACACAGCTGTTGGAATGAGAACATGAAAAGGGGAGACAGAAAGCAAGGCTGAAGAAACCTAAGGGACTTAAGACCTAAAACCTCAAAAAAAAAAGTACATTTCTGGTTGCCAAAGTCCTCTGTGAAAGCAGACTTTCTGGCTCTGGAACACTTGAGCACTTTTGAAAGTTTTGAAACAATTCTTTCTTTCTTTGAGGCTGATATGTCTACAGAAAAGGAGCATTAAGGGATTGTACATGCTTAGGAAGCTAGAAAAGACAAAGCTTGGGCCATGCTGCTGCATCTAGAACTCTGTAAAAAACTGTTTCTCTCCTGTGAAAGCCTTTGACTCCTTCCAGGGAAAAATAGCCAAATGGAAAGTGAATAAACAAGGAGAAGCAGAGACCTATGGTGGGAGAAGAGGAATTTTGCAACTTATTCCTAACTGTCTCACCCTTCAGATACTCTTCTCTCCACTTCCCCAGGACCTGGCTAACTGTGAGATTAGGGAACTTCTGAAGACAACTGTCCAGAAAGAAGGTGAGCTACGGTGGGGAGATGAAGAACACACTGATTGCTTCACACCTGGCAGAAAAGCAATTCACTGGGAGAAGAGAGGAAATTCCCAGCTCTAGATTTATACTTCCAAAAAACCCACAATGCAAATACATTTGCAAAATCCACAATGCAAATCCACAATACAAATCTTTTCCTTTGAAGCATGAAGGTCTTGTTAAAACAAAAACACAGCGTAGGAGCCTCCCACCAACAGTGGGCTTCAGATTTAATTCCAAACCATCCATCTCACCACAGCAAAATGTGCATCCCTACAGGAAAGAAGTCCTGCTCAGTGGTGGCTAAGTAGTGGTGAACATTTGCCAGGTATGATTTTTGACATTCAAGTTTCAAGCACAACAAGAAACTTCAATAACTTTTTGGTGACATTCCACTTCCTCACAGTCTTCCTCCCACTCCCTACATCTTTTGCTTGGAGTTCAAGCGGCAGACCAAAGAGAGGTTTTTGGGGAATTCTTCCCAGTGATGTAAATTCAGCTCATCTCTTTTCAACACTGTGGTAAAACGGAAGCCTCTTTTTAAAAGCTGCTGGACTGAGCTATTTTAAAAGAAGGGGAGAAATAAACAGGTCAAATGACGACAAGACAAAGTTATTTTGCAAATGAAGATAATGTGAGTACAGAAATCAAACTCTGGGGACCAAGAGTGTTCAGGTCTCAGTCCCAGTGTAGTATCTACTCCCTTGGGGGTTCAGATCACTTTAGTAGGTATCTCAGATTTGCCATCTGTAACACGGGATGTGAAGTACTTACACTGTACAAAGAACAATGTTAGGAACAATTACGTCACTAAAGCACTTTAAAAGCCAGTTCTCAACTGTCTCAATCTTTTCTCTCTTCCATGCACCTCTGTTACACTCTTCACCTCTAGATGATAAGGTCAGCACAGCAAGTTCTGTTCTTGTCACACATCAGAACTGCTGAAAACAGCCACACTCGGGCTAGAAGCGCCAGCCAAAACCTTCAAGGTAATTCACAGGTATCGCCCAATATCTGAAGGATGCTGGTTTTGTAACCTCACAAAAATAACATTGTCAGCTGTAAAAATATTCGTACAGTCCCAATCACCACAGAATCTGAGCACTTCCAACCATTTGCACATCCCAGATTGCCTGCTGGGAAGGACAGTTTTATTATCCTCTGCTTGGAAGACACATCGAAGCACAAACAGCGGGCGACTGGTGGCCATCCACAGAAATCTAGGAGGGGGCAGGGAAGTGAAGTTTCAAGAGTCCCAGGCTTTTCCAAACCAAGAGGCTACCGTGCCACCCAGTCCTTCCGTAGGTGCTGCTACATTTCCTTGACAGGCTTCCTGTACAGTTGCCCTGTAACTTCCCTAGAAAGCAGTACTGTCATTATTATAGAATCATAGAATGCTTAGGGTTGGAAGGGCTTACAAGTTACATCCTGTGCCCCTGGGAGAAGAGATGCACCAAGATGCCCTTAGTGGAAGCAGAAAGATAGTCTTCACTGCACAAAAAAAAAATAAGTCAATAGGAAATTCTTTTAAAAGGTCAAGCCCTGCTATGCAGTGGGGTGACAGAAGAGATTCCTCTTTTCTTTGAGTAAAGATGATTTGGGATGTTAATGCTGGAGGGATGTGGGAGGAAATCAAATGCTACCCCAGTGCCTATCCAAGAGGTGGTGTACATCCTCCAAAGTTTAAAGGGTCCCTAAACAATGCACTTTCAGGCACTGCCCTCAGAAAGCCATCCCAAAATCCTAAGCCTGTAAGTTCTTCATGACGCAGCTTTTTGGTGCTACAGAGTGGGGACAGGCTACTACACAAACAGAGAAGATACAAGGGGGACACATCCAAAGTTGACAGGGCCATGGTTGAGCTACCAAGCTTACTAAGAGGGGGATCATACTGGGACCTAAACGGGAATCTAGGAATGAAACTCTCCTCCCATGAGCCTGCTGCTGATTGTCACTTCAGGAAACGCCTGGCAGTCCCCCTCCTCCAGCAGCACACCAAGCAGGAGATAGAGCACTGTAGTCAGAGCCCAGCAGCAGGAGAACAATGAGTGGAATTTCCTCTTTCTGTCCAGGGAGGGCTGTTTGTCACCAGTGAGATAAAAGCCCAGGGCAGGGAAAAGGGGTTATCGGGAGACACGCCGCACACAGTGCCACTCAGGAGAGACTTTGTAGGAAGTCTATTTTGGGGGCTGTCACCCTTACTGCCATTAAAAGAAAGTTCAGTTAAGAGGATGAAAATAAATTTAATCTTGCTGAGCAGAAGTGGCTGGAGGGAACCACAGACCTGATACTGGAAAACAAAGACTGGTTTCTTTACCAGTGACACTGTTTCCTTTTTATATGTCCACAGTACTCTTCTCAAGCCTTATGGTCCTCTTCTCTCTCCCTGTCCCTCCAGTCTGCAGGCTGCCCGTGTTGTGGCAGCAACAATTAGTCCTTTCCACAAAATGGAACACGCAACAGAGGCCAACAGCCCAGTCAACACGAAGCAAAGGGCTGAAGAGAAAGCCCTGTCTCTTCAGGAGAAGAAATCTGGCCATGGACCTATTTCATAAAATGGTCTGGGTTGGAAGGGACCTCAAAGACCATCTAGTTCCAGCCCCCCTGCCATGGGCAGGGACACCCTCCACCACACCAGGTTGCTCAAAGCCTCGTTGCTGGATTAAGCCTAAAGGATTTAGCTGTGAAAGCGTTAGCCAAGCAGCTAGGCTTGAGACTAATGTGTCTGCACTGAACTTAATTTATCTTCTCATTTCACAAACAACATGTTTCTTCTACTGTATTTATTTTAAACATTCGTTCAAGCTGTGCATAGTATTTCAATCATTTAGAAATAGATTCGCCCTCCTGCTGGCAAATGAATAAGGCATCCTGCTGACTGCTGGAGAAAGGGCCATGAATTAAAATAACTGCTTTTAGTAGACTGACATGTGCTAGTTAGCTGTCTCCACACACTCCTTAGTAGTAACTGGTGAAGAGAGACCTCTAAATAATAAAAAAAACCAAACCCTGGCTAACTGTTTGGATACTCATACTGACTTGCATTGCTGGAACGTGGCAGACCACTGCCAACCAGCTCACAGCAACTGCCTGGATAACTTCAGCGTGCACACACTTCCTTGTAAACTCAACTACTCACCCATAAACAAGTCAGCAGCGTGCAAAGCCCCGACACGAGTGAGAGCAGCTGAGGTGTCACATCCTCTTTCCTCTCCCCAGGCTGCAAACTTCATGTGGTTAGACTCATGCAAACTCAGCTGGAAGAGCCTTTATTTCCCCTTCCCTTTTATTTTGCCCCCTTGAACTGCCAATGGTGTTGGCCCAGTTCCTGCTCCCCACGCGAGCGGGGAGAAACCACAGCGCAACACAAGGAACACGAGCAGAGCCCCTGCTGCAGCAGGGATGGGGGAAGCTGAGCAAGTTCCTGAACCCTCCGGTGAATCTGTGCCTACAGCTTCTTGCTGCAGCCCGGGGAACCTCCATGACACCATCACTGGCCCTAAATCACATATAACCCTGTGACAGTGTCACTGGAACAAGGGCGAGGAAGGCTAAAGCCCTCTCTCCGCAGCTGCTACAATACACAATGTGTTTCCTGAGGCCAAGTTGACATTCCTGTGGTGGAAGCATCTGCTTGGGGAAGCTTACGGCTTGAACAAACTCACTGCTGCACACGACAGACATAAATTCTCCCTGCTCCAGGGAGCAGGGCAAGCAAGGGGAGGCTGGAAACGACACAATTCCACTTTGCATCTCGATTTGCACGCTGCTAGCCAAATTTAAGCACAGAAAGTACGGAAGCCCTTGCTCTCCTGGGCGACTGCGTCCCGAGAGAGCTCCGCAGAGACAAAGTTACCGCATCGCGTTATGACAACCCGCCACAGAGGCAGGCTGGGAGTCCCCAACACAAGAAGGACATGGAGCTGCTGGGGGCAGTCCCGATGAA